GGAGCAGGATTTTCCCATGGGCTTTGGGACCCTGTTGCTGGAGTTAAATGGATAGAGACATCATCTGGCTGTAATTTTCCCCAAATTGGCCAATGAAGGCCAGACGATAGGTTTTCTATTCAAGTAAGGATGACAGGTGGGCTGTCAAAAGCTGGAGGACTCATAAAAAGTGGGCTGCTCTTACAGGTGTGTGTGTGAGAGAGAGAGAGAGGGGGTTCCCAAGTTAGATGCTCACTCTCTCTAACTTCAATCATAAAGTAAAACTTAACCTGAGCTACCATTACAGATGGTGAATCTGCCACTGTCAGACTGCCTCAAAGTAGTTCCACTGTTTGCCAATACCTCTAGGGATCTGGCAGCCTTATTAAGGCATTAACAAGGAGAATTAGCTGCCCATCACTTTAAGCCTACAATCCCACCCCCATCTTACCTCTTCTTTTTAGAAAAAGTGGCTCAGAGGCATGGTGCTGTCAGGAAATTGGCATGCTGGCTGGCAGCATAAATGTATCCACCCACCTCACAACAAGTTCACCCCCATCAGGATGTATAAGTTCAACCTTAGGTTCTATTGGAGTCATTATACACCAAGCAACCACCCATTCACCCTTCTTTACACCTCCGAAACATTGCCTGACTTTGTCCCTGTCACAACTAATTTGCTTCTTAAATCCTCACCCAAGCCTTTTTGTTTCTCATAGAATCCTACAGCACGGAGACAGGCCGAAACAGGTCCATGTCCACCAAGATATCCATCCATACTAACCCCATTTCCTTGCACTTGGCGCACATCCTTCTAAACCTTTCCTCTCCATGTATTCATCCAAATGCCTTTTAAATGTTGTTAATGTACCCATCTGAATCACTTCCACTGGCAGCTCATTCCATGTGTGTACCACCCTCTGTGTAAAAAAAGTTGCCCCTCAGGTTCCCATGTATTCTTTCCCCTTTACCTTAAACTGATGCCCTCTAGTCCTCGATTCCCCAACCCTGAGAAAAAGACTGAGTGCATTCACCCTATCCACGCCTCTCATGATATTATAGACTTCCATAAGATCCCCAATCAATCTCCTATGCTGTAAAGAAAAAAGTCCTAGCTTGTCCAACCTCTCCCTATAACTCAGTCCCTTGAGTCCTGGCAATATCCTTGTAAATTTCTTCTGCACTCTTTCCAGTTTAATAACATCCTTCCATTAGCAAGGTGACCAAAACTGAACACAATACTCTTAAGTGCGGCCTCACCAACATTCTGTACAACTGCAATGTAACTTCCCAGCTTCTAAATTCAGTGCCCTGACTGATGAAGGCCAGTGTGCCAAAAGCCGCCTTCACTGCCCTGTCTGCCTGTGATTCCACTTTCAGGGAACCGTGCACCTGAACTCCAAGGTCTGTCTGCTCCATTACACTCCTTTAGGACACTACCATTCACCATGAAACTCCTACCTTGATTTGACTTTCCAAAATGCAACACCTCACACTTATCTATATTAAACTCCATTTTACAATTCTCGGCCCACTTCCCCACCTGATCAAGATCCTGCTGCAATTTCTGATAACCTTCTGCACTGTCCACGATACCGCCTATTTTAGTGTCATCCGCAAATTTACTAATCATCCCTTGTACATTCTCATCCAAATCATTGATATAGATAACAAACAGCAATGGGCCCAGGGCCGACCCCGAGGCATACTATTAGTCAGACACTCCAGTCTGACAAGCATCTTTCCACTATTACTCTCTGTTTCCTACCATCAAGCCAATTGTGTATCCAATTTGCCAACTCTCCCTAGATTCCATGTGATCTAACCTTCCAGAGCAGCCTACCATTGCGGAACCTTATCAAAGGCCTTATTGAAATCCATGTAGACTACGTCTACCACCCTGCACTGAGCAACCTTCCTGGTCACTTCATCAAAGAACTCTAACAAATTTGTGAGGCATGATTTCCCATGCATAAAGTCATGCTGACTACTCCTAATTAAAACTTGTCTTTCTAAATGCATGTATATCTTATCCCTCAGAATCTTCTCAAGTAACTTACCTACCACAGATATTAAGCTTACTGGTCTATAATTCCCAGGCTTTTCTTTGCAGCCCTTCTTGAATAAGGGAACAACATTCACTACTCTCCAGCCTTCTGGGAGCTCACCTGTGGCTAACGATGATGCAAGCACGTTAGCCAGGGCCCCCACAATTTTTTCTCTAGCCCCTTACAGGGTTATTTGATATATCTGATCAGGACCAGGATATTTATACAACTTCATACATTCTAATACTTCCAACCACCTCCTCTACTGTAATATGGACTGACTCCAAGATATCGCCACTAACTTCCCCAAGTCTTCATGCCTTTCTCCACGGTAACACAGAGGAGAAATATTCATTGAGGACCTTGCTGTTCTCTTGCAATCCCACACATACGTGTCCACTTTGGTTTTTCAGGAATCCTGTTCTTTCTCTAGTTATTCTTTTTCCTTTAATATACTTAAAGAATCTCTTTGGATTCACCCTAATCTCCGCAGCCAAAGCTATCTCATGCCCCTTTCAGAGATAGCAAAAACTGCCAATGCTGAAGAAGGGTCCTGACCCAAAACATCAACTTTAGTGCTCCTCTGATGCTGCCTGGCCTGCTGTGCTGCTGCAGCTCCATACTGTGTTATCTCGTGCCCCCTTTCGCCTTCCTGATTTCCTTCTTCAGTAAACTCCTGTATCCTGTATATACCTCCAGGGATTTCCTTGATTTCAGCTGCCTGTTCCTGAGCCATGCATCCTCCTTTTTTCTGGTCAAAGCCTCAATATCTCGTCATCCAGGGTTTCCTACTCCTGCCAACCTTTCCCTTCACCCTCACAGGAACATATAGACCTTGAACTCTAGCTATCACACATTTAAAGGCTTCCCATTTGCCAGAGGTCCCTTTGCCTGCAAACAAATTACTCCAATCAATACCTTCAAGCTCCTGTCTAATTCCATCAAAAATTCGCCTTGCCCCAATTTAGAACTTGAATCCATGGACCAGTTTTGTCCTTCTCCGTAACTATTTTAAAATTGATAGAACTATGTCCCAAAGTGCTTCCCCACTGTCACCTCACACTCGTGTCCTGCCCTATTTCCCAAGGGTAGGTCCAATTTTGCCTCTTCCCAAGTAGGACCCTCTATATACTGCTTAACGAAACTTTCCTGAACACATTTAACAAATTCCACCCCACCTAAGCCCTTAACACTATGGAAGTCCCAGTCTATGTTAAGAAAATTAAAATCCCCCTCTATGACAACCCTATTTCTCCTGCAAGTCTCTGCAATCTCCCTGCATATTTGTTCCTCTAACTCCTGTTGACTATTTGGGGGGCCTACAGTACAACCCCAATAATGTCAACATCCCCTTCTTATTTCTTACCTCCACCCACAAAGCCTCACTGGATGATCCTTCAGTTATTTCATCCCTGACTACTGCTGTGATACTCCCCTTAATCAAAAATTCAACACCCCCTCCCCTCTTTCCTCTACCTCTGTCCCACTTAAAGCACCTGTACCCTGGCACATTAAGCTGCCAGTCCTGTCCCTCCCTTAGCCATGTTTCTGTAAAGGCTATAATATCCCAGCCCCACGTATCTATCTACACCAAGTTCATGGGCCTTATCTGTCAGCCCTCTTGCACTGAAATAGGTGCAATTTAATCCATCAGGATTCCTTGCTCCCTGGCCTGTTCTAACCTGACCTGTCTCTTGAACTTGCTATTTCTGATTATTGTATTTCCTTCCAGCCTCGCACTTGCCTCCCTGATGTTGAGGATCCCGCCTCCCCTACCCGGCAATCTAGTTTAAACCCTCCCTTGCAGCACTAGCAAATCTGCCCGCTAGGGTATTGGTCCCACTCCAGTTCAGGGGCAACCCGTCCCTCTTGAACACATCACCCCTGCCCCAGAAAAGATCTCAATGATCCAGGAATCTGAATCCCTGCTCCCTGCATCAATTCTTTAGCCACGCATTCATCTGCCATATCCTCCTCTTCTTACCCTCACTAGCTCATAGGCTTCGAGATTATTTCAATGCATTTCTGGTTGGTTTTGTACACTTACCCTCTCTAAACCTGAGGTCTTTTAAGGTTTTTCTATTTGTGTCTTAACTCTCATCGATTCCCATTTGCCTATTGCCCCGTGCTCATGGATCTGCAATGGCTCCTGTGAAATAACATATTATTTTTAAAATTCCCATTCTTATTTTCAAAGCCATCCAGAGCCCCATTCTTCCGTATACCTGTAACCTCTTCCAAAGCCACAACCCTCTGGAATACCTGAATTCCTCAAATCCATGCCACTCAAACCTGATTTTAATACCTCTACCATTGGTGATCATGTCTTCAGTTGCATTGGCCTTAAAATCTGAATTGTGTCCTTACCTCCCTCTACCTCTCTACCAAACCTTCTTGCTTTATGATAAGTCTTAAAACCTTCTTCTTTCCCCAATATTTTGATGATCTGACCAAGTACCTCTACGTGACTGTGTCATGTTTTATTTTTTAACACTCCTGTGAAGCACCTTGAGACAATTCATTATGTTAAAGATACTATATAAATTGAATTGTTATTGTAATTTCAACTCGTGAACTCCCAGTGTGCCCTTTGAAACTGTATACGCAGTGACTTCTGTGATGCCAAAGTCACATTCAGCTGCCTAGTTCCTGACCTCTGGAATTCCCTCCCTAAACCTCTCCTCTCCTCTATCTCCAGTTGCGCCTTTCAGACACTCCTTAATACTCTGAAGCTTTTAGTACTAATGTTTCTTTATGTAGTTAGTGCCAAATGTTGTTAGATTATGTCCTGTGAAGTATCCTCAGATGTTTAAGGTGTTACGTGGATGTAAGCTGTCATTTTTTTCAAATGTTGACTGTTACTAAGTTTCGGCTCTTAGGCAAAATCATTTGTCAGGTTTATTGCTACCAGTCACTATATCCAGCTTGGGAATATGTCAGTCAAATGTTGATTTCTGCCTGTTCTTTATACAGGATATTGGAGGTTGCAGTTAGATCACATCTGTGCACATCTGCGCAGTTACACACAAAATAATACTGAATTCCGGGCTCTAATTGGAGAACCTCAAATGGGAAAGGTAAGTGCTTAACCTCATCAAAAATATTTTTCGTTCTTAAGAAATTGGTTAGAAGTTTATTTAAAGTTTGTTTTTAAAAAGCTTGCATTTAGACAATGCCTTTCACATCTTTGAAAATTACCATGTGATCTCTTATTGACAAATGTCTCAACTAAAAATTATAATCTTCCACATTGCATCCCTGTCTCTAATCTAGCTAGAGTATCCTCCACAGTGACCAGTCTCTGTGTTGGTGCAGGGTAAAGGGAAAAACATTGCCAATACATCTTCAGAAGGCTCACAGCCATCATCTCAGAACTACTGGAGTTTGTGCTGCTGGGCAGATGTCGTACATACTTTTGGTCTGCTATATATTGTTGACCAGTTGTGCCTGTGGAACAGAAGAGAAAGAATTATTGGTGAAGATGCACAAGCCCAGATGTGGAGGACTGTGTGAGACTTCCAGCCTTCCTGTGAAGAGTACACTGCAATGCTCCTCACTGGCTTGTCCTACCATTCCTATCCCTCCATCAACATGGAGCTAGTTATTTTACTGAAATTCAGACATCTCTGGGGCTTCTAGAAGTGAGGACCACAGACTCCAGGGTTGTTACTGGCTTGCAGTGAGTGAAGGGCATTTAAATGTAGTGCCAGAACTTTCAACCACAGAAATTCCCAGCAGGGAATAGAGATTATAGGGTTAAGGAGAATCTAAAGGGATTCAACAGATGCATTAAGGACACGAGTGACTAGGGAGAGAATAGGGCCCATTAAAGATCAGCAAGGCTGCCTATGTGTAGAATCGCAGGAGATGGGGGAGATACTAACTGAATATTTTGTATCAGTTTACTGTGGTGAAGGATATGGAAGATAGAGATAGGATCGTTAAGAAGATGTTTGGTATGCTTGCTCTTATTGGTTAGTGCATTGTGTATTGGAGTTGGGAGATCGTGTTGCAGCTGTACAGGACATTGGTTCGGCCACTTTTGGAATACTGCTTGCAATTCTGGTCTCCCTGCTACAGGAAGGATGTTGTGAAACTTGAAAGGCTTCAGAAAAGATTTACAAGGATGTTGCTAGGATTGGAGAGTTTGGATTTTAGGGAGCGTCTGAATAGACTGGGGCTGCTTTCCCTGGAGCATCAGAGCCTGGGGGGGTGACCTTATAGAAGTCAATAAAATTATGAGGGGCCTGGAAAGGGTGAATAGACAAGGTCTTATTCCTGGGGTGGGTGAGTCTAAAACTAGAGGGCATAGGTTTAGGTTGAGAGCACAGAGATTTAAAAGGGACCTAAGGGGCAACTTTTTCATGCCGAGTGTGGTGCATGTATGGAATGAACTGCCAGAGGAAGTGGTGGAGGCTGGTACAATTACAATATTTAAAAGGCATCTGGATGGGTATATGAGTAGGAAGGATTTAGATGGATATGGGCCAAATGCTGGTAAGTGGGACTAGATTTATTTGGATATCTGTTCGGCATGCACGAGTTGGACCGAAGGGTCTATTTCCATGCTGTACAGCTCTATGACTCTATGAACTTCCACTTGCCTGAGATATTGATTCCCTGTTTAGGGAGCAACTCACTTGCATAAAAAAATTAATGGAAAGGACATAATGGAGAAAGAAAACTTGCCATGGACTATGATGGAAATGACACTGTCTTGGATGTCCAATACCTCAGTTTAAATCCAAAATGGATGATGCTGGCCCGAATCTCCAATGCCCCTTTCTTTTCCAAAGTTCTTGAACAACTTGTTACCTCCCAAATCTATTCTTCTTCTTTTCTACTGGTTCATATTTGAATCCCTCCAATGAGATTTCTCTTCCAGCCAATGCACTGGAAAATGGCTCTTCTCAAAATCACAAATGATTGGTTACTTATGTGACTGTGAAAAGGTAAACCATCCCTCTCGATCTTCCACAACCTGGTTGCAGTCTCAACAGAGTTGATCTTAGCAACTTCCTCTCACACCTCTCCACTCTCTTTCAGCTGGATAGGACTGCAGTTACTTTTGTTCCATTCTTATCTATGTAACCGTAGCCAAATATTGCCTTTCTATTGTCTCTGGTATCTCCTGGTAATCTGTCTTTGCCCCTCCACCACCTCCTATTATTCAAATAAATGCTGCTTTTGGAGACATAATCTAAAAGCGCAGCCTTTTGAGTACTTCTGATTTTAATCCTTCCACACATAGTTGACAGTGCCTTCAGCTGACCCAGCACTCTGAACTCTTCAAGTACCCTCCTAAGCATCTCTCTCTCAACCTCTTTCTTCTTGTATTTCACTCATTAAACGTGTCTCTGACCAAGCTTTTGACCATCCATTCTTGCATTTCAAACAGAGTCTAACTTTGCTTTATAATGCTCCTGAGAAATGTCTCATGACATTTTGTTGCTTTAGAAATTCAAATTATCATTTCTTTTGACAATATTCTAAAATGTATTCAAATTCATGAGCCACTGAAACTTGATTTACCTTAATTACCTGATAAAATCTCCTCATAATTGTAAATACAGTACCTCTATCAGATTTTTTCCTCACCTTCTCTTCCCTGTTTTTGTCATCTGTCCTAATATCTCCTTATGTTAGTCAGCATCAGTTTTTCCTTTTAGATTTTTCTCCTGTGAAGTGCCTTGGGATGTTTTAGTGTATTAAAAATGCTCTCTTAGTTCAACTTGTTGACTTTTCTCAGTGTCTAATGTCTCTATTTGATCGTTATAACTAAAGTCCGCTCTTCCCCTTTCGAACTTGACGTCTTTGCAAATCACAAGTGCACCTTCTCCTTGGCTTTGACATTCTTCTTAAAGTAAGGCATACAAGATTGGACATGATGTTCCAATTGCAGCTGAGGCAATAGTTTAGCATTGTGTGTTTGATTTTATACTGTTTGGGGTTCTTCACTCCTTGAACAATGACAATAATGGTGTCAGCAGCCAATGGAAAAGAAAATGAGGTGGGTGTAAAACAGGCAATTGATTCAATGTTACACATTTTGTGCTACAGGTCAAACTTTGCCATCTGCATCCCCTGTTTATCAAATCTACAATCCTGTATACACCTTGTAAAAAATCAGCTTTAACTTAGCATTATTAACACAACGCTGTTGTGGAAGGAGTCCCTGGATTGCGATTCAGTGGCAATGAAAGAACAGTGATGTATTTCCAAGAGTATGATGATGGCAGTGCTCCCTCATACCTGCCTTTGTCCTTCGAGATAGTAGTGGTTATGGGTTTGGGATGTGTTGTCGAAGAATCCTTGGTGAATTTCTGCAGTGCATCTTATAGATAATATACAGTGCTGTATTGGCGGTGAAGGGAATGAATGCTTGTGCTTGTGCAAGTGGGCTGCATTGTCCTGGATGGTATCAAGCTTCTTAAGTGTTGTTGGAGCTGCATCCATCCAGGCAAGTGGAAAGTATCCAGTGACACTCCTGACTTGTGCCCTTGAATAGCGGACAGGCTTTGGGGAGTCAGGAGGTGAGTTATTCACTGCAGGATTCCCAGTCTCTGAACGGTTTTGTAGACACAGTATTTATATGGCTAGTCCTCAGTGTCTGGTCAATGGTAATCCCAAGGATATTTAAAGTAGATGATTCAGTGATGGTAATGCTATGAAAGCCAAGGTGATGAATAGATTCTCTTTTGCTGTAGATGGTCATTGTCTGGTCATTATGTGGCCACTTGCCATTTGTCTGTCTAAACTTGGATATTGACCAAATCTTGATGCATTTGGACATGGGCTATTTCAGTATCTGAAGAGGTGCTGAACATTGTGAAATCAAACATCCCCACTTCTGGCCTTATGATGGAGGGAAGGTCATTGATTATGCAGTCAAAGATGACTGGGCCCACCACAGTCCCCTGAGCGACTTCTGCAGAGATGTCCTACATGCTAGGTATGAGCAGCCAATATTCCACTTACCACCACTCAGCCCCCCATTCCCATTGACTCTCATTTCATTACACTTGGTCAAATGTAACCTTGATATCAATCGATGTCATTCTTGCCTCACCTCTGGAATCAGCTCTTTTGCCCATGTTTGAATCAAGGCTGTAATGAGGTCAGGAGTAGATTGAGGAAACTAGCCAGCTTTCTCGCTTATGGAGGTGGCAAGTGATTAGGGAGGTGTCCGGCCATTGACTGACCACATAAGGCCTCAATTGCTGGGATGTTGGGAAAGTCCCCAGTGGATTTACCTAGCACTAATTGCAGAGATAGTGAGACATATCTCTCCAAAGCTGACTTGCTCCATTATTTCCCCTTCTCGCCAACTCCAGGGAGAGGAAAATCATGGCCACAATCTCTTGACTCCAGCATGACAGCTACCAACAGAAACGTAGCTGACTCCATATATGATATCACAGAATCCCTATGGTGTGGAAGCAGGCCATTTGGCCCTTTGATTCCCCTCCAACCCTCTGAAGAGATACCACCCAGACCCTGCTTTCTACCCTATCCCTGTAACCCTGCATTTCCCATGCTAATTCACCTAGCCTGCACTTCCCTGGACACTATGGGCAATTTAGCATGGCCAATCCACCTAACCTGCACATCTTTGGACTGTGGCAGGAAACTGGAGCACCTGGAGGAAATCTACTCAGACACGGGGAGAATGTGCAAATTCCACACAGACAGTCGCCCGAGGGTGGAATCAAACCCAGGTCCCTGACGCTGTGAGAGCACTGCTATCCACTGAGCCACTGCGCCATTTCATTTTGTTTATTAATCCCTTTACAGGGTTGTGGATATTTTTGACAAGGTCTCTATGATCTATTCTTAAGTTAGAGTGATTATTTGTTTCATGATGGGAGAATTAATTGATGTTTTTGTTGTTCTTTGGCAGATCGTATCGGCAACTGTGCATGAAGATGGTTATGAGCTTAGTCTCCGAGTGAACTTTGTCCTTGCAGGAAATAAGGTTTGTTTGCTGTTGCGGAGTTGCATGTTATCTGCTGGTTTTGAAATGATGTTCAGGCCCTCAGTAATGTTTACTAGTTGCTCCCCTTTGATAACAAGTAAATTGAAACACTGACCCAGATTTTAATAGGTGGTAAAAAACATTGTAGGTTGCAATCATGTTTTAAAATGACTGATCAGTTGAATAAAAATGAAATTTCCTGCCACCTCCTGCCTACATTATTATGATTCAGATATCCTGTTCTGTTTGTGAAGGTTTAAGAAAAACATGTAAGTTTCCATCAGATTTAAGCTTGCTCGCTTTCCTGGCATTATCTGCTCCTGAAGGACACGTGGGCGGTTTTCAGAGGCCACCACCTTCACCAATGTTCCTCCAATTGCTACCTTTCTCAGGTGTCAGGCCATTAATTAACTTCTTAAAGCCCTCAATTGCTGGTGTTGTCGATATTTTTGACTTTATTTTCACTGCTCTGAAACCAAAACTATTTTACAAATCAGACAGAAGTAGGAGAGGGATAATTTGGACACAGTAAAATGGCATTTCACCATTGAAGGAAACTGAATGAAGGTGGAGGGAATAAATGTCAAGTAAAAATTCACCTTGGGATATGGCATGGCTGATATTGCCCTTCCCTTGATTCTGAGAGAGGTTTTGATGAGCAGCCTTCTTGAACTGCCCATGATGGTTTGAAACACTGTAGTGGCTTGCTCAGCCTTTTCCCAGGATACTTTAAAGACAGCCACCAAATGAAATCATGTATTGGTCTCACCAGGGAAAGACAGCAGATCTGTTCATTAACAAACAAGCCAGATTTTTTTTGTGACAATATGGCAGCTTTATGGTGGCTTTTACTAACTCCAGATTTTTGTTAAACTAATATCAAATTCTCAAACTACCCTAGAGGGATCTGAATTTTTGTCCTCTGGATTATTAGTCCAGGTATCTGGTTTACTCAAGCAATTACATAACCTGTACACCATCATTGCCCCTAAAGATGTCTTAATGTTGTAAATAAAGGTCTTCTCTGCTACCAGTTGCGCAGGTCCTCCTCAACTAGCCCAAGCCAGATTAGGAAGCCTTCAGCCTGCCCAGCTCTACCTCCCAAATCACAATAACAGCTTGATCCTTCAACCTGAGATAACAAGGTGTAGAGCTGGATGAACACAGCAGGCCGAGCAGGAAAGCTGACGTTTTGGGTTGAGACCCTTTGATTTCTGAAGAAGGGCTTTCCTGCTCCTCTGATGCTGCTTGGCCTGCTGTGTTCATCCAGCTCTACACCTTGTTATCTCAGATTCTCCAGCATCGGCAGTTCCTACTATCTCTGATCCTTCAACCTTCCCCTTTTCCTGATCATGACTTGGATCCTTTGTTCTTGCTTACTGCTATCATGTAATAAGGTGCCTCCTCTGTAAATACTTTATGGTGGCATACCCTCTACCCAGAGTCGTTAGATAGGCCCAAGACAAAGAAAAGACAAAATAAGGACAGGTGGCAGCAAACTACCTGCAATATCCCTTACCCAGTATCATGTCCTGGCACAGGTGGCAAATACCACAAGGTGGACAGCACTGGTCATCTGGGAAAATACACTTCCCACTCCTGGCAGAGGACAAGATTCTGCCTATTCTTCCAAATTTAATCTGAATCACAAATTCTTGAAACATATCCCTAACCATCCTCAAGGACAACACAAAATTGAAGATTACCCAAGTGGCGGGGAGAGACGAGGGAAGGACGGAGGAGGAAGACTTATAAATAATTGTTGTCAAAGGGGATTTGAACCTGATTTTCTTCAGGGTACATTGATATTAACCATGTTATACACTCACTGTAGAACACTGGAACTGCAAATTAATCCCTTATATTAGAGGCTATTTAGAAAATGAATCAGCTTTCATTCAATAAAGTTGATGCTAGGCATATTCATAGCCTATGTTTAACAATGGACTGGGAAGCAGCATGAGTGAATTGACCTTGGTTGGGTAAGTCGTCACACAGTAAAATTTAGTTGTGTTGAGGAGTCACATGTTCAAGGTGCCTTTCTATCTTTTGTTTTCGCCCCAACAGAACATTCTAACTGGAAAAGCAATGAAGCTATCTGAGGACAACTTCCTTAGTAGTGTGACTGAAGGCGGAGATGGTTACCATAGCAGTTTGACAAGTTTGGGTAAGTTCCACTGATGCAACATTGATTTGACAGCAGTTGTTCAGTGTAAGGGAGTGGGTGGCATTTAGAGCACAAAATTCTTTCTGTTCAAAAATGTCATGAAGAGTTGATGTAAAAACACTCTGTTTGTATTTTGTTGCTAAAAATATCAGCAAAAGGAATCTGGCTCCTTTGTACCATGGCATGCTCTGGTTACAACTGTATAAACCACATCAGTACAGAAACCGGTTCCACCTCAACAAAGCAAGAAAACGCCTTTCTTTTAAAAAAAAGTCCTGAATTTTACAATTATTAAACAACCTATATGTGCCATGGATTGTATTTCTATCTGTGTCTAGAATGTGTTTATATAAAAATCAGATTCCTCATTAGAATAACTACAAATATGTGAAAAAAACTCATTACAATGCAAAATAAATTATACCTATCCTCTCCCTACCCTTTTCTTGTTGTCTTTTATACCTCAGTAATAGGTGGTAGTGATTTGTGTACTTAGATATGTCAAGCATTTTGCTCCTCCACAGCTTGTAAGTCTCTCATTGCTTAAAAAGAATTCCGAAGTGCATGACATAGAAATGTATAAAGTAGGAGTGTCAGCATGCTATTTGTCCAATTGAGTCTGTTCCACCATCCAATATGATCAAGGCTGATCCTGTATCTCAATGTCATGCTCCTGCTCTCTCCCTATACCCCTTGACACATTTAGTCTCTCGAAATGTATCTGTTTCCTAAACATATGCAGTGATGTGGCCTTCACAGCCGTGTGTGATAGAGAATTCCACAGGTTCACCACCCCAAGTGAAGTCATTTCTCCTAATCTCAATCCGAAATGGTCTACCCCATGCATTGAAACCCTTGTAACTCTTTGCTCATGACAGAGGGAACATCGCCCCTGCATCCAATAACACTCCCACATTGCTCCATTGATCATGACTTAATCTAACAATGGCCGTTTGCAGCATCCAGCTCCCATTTACAATATTTACTGTGGCACAGTAACTAAATTACGGTGGCTAATTTAATTTACAGGTAAATTCAGTGACCCACCATCTCCTTTCATCAAATATATTTTAAAAGTTTAAACTGTTGGTGCACGTTCCAGGGGAGATGTGCAGCAGATACATTTGTTACAGAGTGGGGAAAGGCTTGCTGTATTTTCAGAGGTCTTTTGCAATATTAATCTAGTGAAGCCTTTGAGATCTGAATAATCTTTGCAGTTTTCATAATGTGAAAATTTAAGATACCAGAGCAGCATAAGACAAAGTGACATCTGTAACATCAAGGAAGCACAATTTTATTTCATACCAAAAATCTCAGCATTGCTCAAAGGATTAACTGTTATCAGTTCTGATGTTACTACGATATTCATCCTTCTCAGTGCAACATTTCTTTATGTAGCTAGCGAGTCTCATTCAGATGGAGCATACACAAGCAAGAAACCTAAAAGATCAAGGAGGAAAAGACAAGTGACAACGAAAGAAGAGAGATTGCCAGTTGGTATTCCTTATAATGTCCCTTAAATGCCATGCAATGCTAACACCTGCCTGTGAGAAGTACTTGTTGTGGATTTTATTTCGGTTTGTATAATAACTTGCAATAAAATGATATGTTATGGAATGGTACGATGTCTAATACAATGAGATCCTGATCTTAGCCAGGTCACTTTGCAGAGTCCTTTGCAGGTCCCTTCTCTTACTATCCTTTTCTAAGAAACGGCATCTACCTCAGTTTTAAAAATTGAAATTAAACCTCATTATTTGGTGGAGCAAGTTCGTCTACCCTTTGTGCAAAAGTAGCTTTCTGGTTTCACTCCTGAATACACCTAGCTGAAATTTTAAGTTTGACTCCCTTTGTTTTTGGTTTCTTATTAAAGATTTCCCTTTGTAACTTCCAATCTTCTAAACTCAAAGGGATACAAGCCAAGTTAATTTAACCTGTCCTCATGGTTTAACCCTGTTAGCTTAGGTATCATTTAAGGCATCTGCTTTGTACCCAGCCAAGATCAATGTATTCTTTGGTGCCCTGAACTAAAGGCGATACTCCTGATAAGGTTGAGCCAATGTTTTACAGAACTGAAGAGTACTTTGAATTCCATTCCTCTTGCAATAAAGTCTTCAGTTCCAGTTCTTTTCCCTCAAAGTCCTCACTGCAGTAATTTGCAGCAGGTTTCCACCCATTCTTCCTGCATCCAGCAGTGGATATTGTGGGTCTGTATATCAGATAGAAACAAACCGGAGGAAGTATAAGTTTAAAGATTGCAGTGAGAATAGAGAATAAAAGACAAATGTCCATTTCAGATTGTTTAGAAGCAACAGCTAAATGAAAAACAACACAGAATGAGCTGAGGAACACAGCAGGCCAGGCAGCATCAGAGGAGCGGGAAAGGTGACGTTTTGGTTCGGGACCCTTCTTCAGAAATGAGGGAGGGGGAAGGGAGCTCAGAAATAAATAGAGAGACGAGGGGTGAGGCTGGAGAAGGTAGGTGGGATGGTGATAGGCGAGTGCAGGTAGGGAGTGGTGGGCATTGGTCAGTGAGGTGGGAGGGACGGATAGGTGGGAGAGAAGATGGACAGGTTGTGTTAGGTCAAGGAGGTGGGGATGAGAGGGAGGGTTGGTCATGGGATGAAGCCAAAGGTGGGGAGATTTTAAAAGTGGTGAATTCCATGTTTAGGCCATTGGGCTGTAGGCTCCCGAGGCAGAATATGAGGTGCTGCTCCTCCAGTTTGCGGGTGGTGACATTGTGACACTGGAGGAGGCTCAGGATGGACATGTGCTTTTAATGTAGTAAAATATTGTAAGATATTCAACAACCAGACAAAAAGAATGAACATTAATGCATTTTCACTATGCAGTGATGATTGTCTATTCATCAAATTCAGTACAAAGTACTGGAATTAAACTCTACCATTTCTTCAGCTATTCAGATCAAATCTCTGCTGGGTTTTAGATAAACTCACCAGTTAATGGAATATGTATTTAATTATATAATAAGAAGCAGTCTGTTATAAATGTTCATCACAACTATCTTGTTTGTGTAGTCTATATTTCTGTATCTAAAAGCTAGGATCCCCTATACCTTTTTAACCACTTTCTCAACCTGTCCTGCCACCTTCAACAGTTAAGTATACTCCCTGGTCTTTTTGTTCCTGCAACCTCTCTAGAACATTGCCTGATGACACATACAACTCTTTGTATTAAATTTTGTCTGCCACATAGCTGCCCATTCTGCCAGCCGGTTTAGATTTTCTTGAACTCTTATTGCTATCCTAAGAGTCACTATGCTTCCAAATTTAGTGTCATCTGCATACTTTAAAATTATGTCCTTTACACCCAAGTCTACACCATTATTATATATCAGGAAAAGTAGTGGTCCAAATACCAAACCCCTTGGGAACACACAGTGCTTCTTCCTGACCAAGAACTGACCATTCACCACTGTGTTTTCCCTCCTGTACCTCAATAAACATTTTGTCCATGCCACTCTCCCTTTTATTCCATTGACCTCAACTTTGCTAACAAACTTTTAATGTGGCATTTTATTGAACTTTGTACAGATGTCCATAAATACCAAAGCAATCACATTATCCTTAAATTTATTTTGTTACTTCATCAAAAATACTCAATCAAGTTAGTTGAAAATGAAAAACTGAAGGAACTGCAGATGCTGGAAATCAGAAACAAAAATAGCCCAAATATTAATTCTGCTTTTTCTCCACAGATGCTGCCAGACCTGCTGTGTTTTTCCAGCAATTTCTGTTTGTGTAGATGAAAATCATTTACCTTTTACAAATCCATTATGGTTTCCCTAATCTATACTTACTCAATTAACAGTTAATTTTGTCCTAGATAACTGTTTTGAAATTTTTTTCATCACCAAAGTTATAGTAACCAGCTTGTAGTTGTTGGGTTTAGCCTTTTGTTCTTCCTCTTCCTTTGACTTTGGCAGAATCTTGTTCCATTATAAAGACAATTAAAGTATTCAATATCTCAGCCATGCCCTCTGCCTCCATGAGTGTATTTCCTTTGTGATGCTAAATCAGCCTTATCCTATCTACTACTACAATTTTTAATATTTGTATGCCAATGGAAGACTTTTAAATTGATTTTCCTTTTATGTTAGCTGCCAGTCTCTCCTCATACCATCTCTTTTCCCCTTTGATTCTTTTTCTCACTTCACCACTATAACCCCATTCTCACTTTTATTATTAACTTTACATTTTTTTCTGCTTCAACTTACTGTCTATCTCTTTTGTCATGCAGAGCTCCTGTTTTCCTGATGGAAAAGCACCTTGTTTTTGTTGACTAGTTGTTCAATTAAATTGTGCCTGCCAAACCTTGATCCCTGTTTACTTGGTCAGGCCCTACTCCATTTTAATATTTTTGCTCTAGTTTTCTCCTTGACCTTTTTCATAATTAATCTAAACCTATGATCACTGTTCTTTAAAGGTTTCCTTTCTGATGTTAGCTCACCTTCTCCAGAATTAGATCCAGTAATGCTTCCTTCCTCATTGGACTGGTAATACACTGGTCAAAAAAAGTCTCCTGCTCATACTTCGGAATCTCTTAATGCTCATTACCCTTTGTACTATTACTGCCCCAGTCTATAGTAAGATATTTGAATCAGCCATTATTATAATCCTAGCTTATGTGTACTTTGTTTATGTATTGTATGTATTCCTTTGGTCCTTATAATAGTCTTGCCAATCTGCTCCTCTACATCTTTTTCATGACTTGGTGACCTGTAGAATACACTTAGTAGGTGCTGGTATCCCTGTTGTTTCATAACTCTAACAAAAAGGAGTCTGTCCTTGACCCCTCCAGGACATCCTCTATCTCCAGCAGTGCAATATTGTCTTTAATCAATACGACCACCTCATTTCTTTCTTTTTCCTTCTCTGTATTGCCTGAAAATCTTGAATCCAGAAATATTTAGTACCTAGTCCTATCCTTTTTCAAGCCATAATTTCTTGCCATTATTGCTATGATATCACTTTTCTATATGGTTATTTGTGGCTAGAGGTCACCCTTATTTATTATACTCTGTATAATAGCATGTACATATGTGCACTGAACCTGAATTAGGTATTGCTATATTCCCTTTTCGTCTCACTCCACCCTTTTTTTTTATTTTCTCTAATTGTCATGCTGTGCGACTCTCCCAATCCTTTGTATACCTTGTTTCTCCTTTCTAATGCTACATCTTGGTTTCTTTTTTCCCTGCCAAACTAGTTGAAGCTCACTCTCCAATAACACCACCAAACTGACCCTAAGATTATTGTTTTTCGCCCTGGCTCTGTTTAGGTGCAATCCATTCAGCTTGTACATTTCCACCTTGCCAGGACATTCCCAATGTCCCAGGAATTCCAAATCCTCTCTCCTGCTCCATCTCTCCAGCCAGGCAATTGTCTGTTCTACCCATCTATTTTTATTCACAGCCATGGTGCACACGGAGTAATTTGAGGTCCTGCTTATTCTCTTTCTAGCTCCCTTCAATCTGCCTGTAAGATGACTCCCCTTTTTCTGACCACAACCTCCAACTATTTAGCCACCCCTTTCAGAATGCTCCAGGGAGGCAGTGAAGCATCTGGAATCATGTTGGTGGGCGCAGAAAAATCTACAGTTAGGGAATCTTCTATTTTGATTGCTTTCCGGAGCTACCTTATACCCTTGTATGCAACTGAATCACTTCCGTTGCTGTAGATTTTACCATGACTGTGCTTCCCAGAGGATTTGTCTCCCTCACCAGTCTGTAGAACTGAATACCAGTTGAAGAGTGCAGTGCAACCCATGGACTTTTGTACCATTTGCCTGCTCCCTCTTGACTGTTTGGTGGTTACCCATTCCCTCTCTGCCTGCATACTGTTAAGCTGCAGGATGACCACTTCTAGAAACGTGTATTTACCTGAGGATATACCACTGCAAATGCCAGCAGCTATTGTTCAAGATCCAGAACCTGAAGCTTAAGTCTTTCCAGCTAATAATACTTCCCACACATGTGATTGTCTGGGAGGCAAATATTGTTCTGGAGTTCTCACATGGCACAGGCTGTATGTTCCAAGCGGCTGAGGTGCCCTGTTGTGTTTCTTTACTAGCAATTCGCTTGCAGCATAAATAAACTTGATACTTAAAAGAGGATTACTTACCAGCTACTGTAGGTAAAAAAAAGCCAACATCTTCTTTCCCCTGTATAAAAAACTTCCCAGCGTTAGCACTTTGTTAATTCTGCATTCAGTTCTGTGAACACTTTGTGCTATAAAAATGCGATTTTCTTATATAGAGCTGATGACTCACACTCAAGTTACAACTGCTAATTCAGCTTTTTGCTCAATCAGCATCTATTCAGGCAACCACTTACAGATGATTGACAGGTAACTGGCCCTAACCGGCAGTTTCTGTTAACTATGTGGCATAACTTGTTTGCAGTTTCTTCAGCCGTTTTTAAAACTCAAAGTCAAATTCTCAATTCGAGCATTACTGAAAAAAAAATGACAATTAATTGTCAGTCATTGTCTTAACTAGTTCATTCTCCATTGGAATACCCCTTACAATCAAAGGCAACTTTTTGACTAATCTTCTCATACAGTATAAAGAGAGATCTTGTGATGCAGTGGTAATGTCCCTAGTGCCCCAGGTTCAAGTTCCACTTGCTCCAGAAGTATGCAGTAATACTTCTGAACAGGTTGATTAGAAAATACCTAAGAAGGTTGTTTTTCCCTTTACATTGATAAATACCTTTTTGCAGCAATACTCAAGTTCTGTATTACCAAATGACTATTTACAGGTTTTCAATGGGAAATTAAACTTTAGCTTCAGAAGTAATAGAATTCACACTTGCACCACATTCCTGACTCCGTAAGAGTGCACTCAGTCTATGATCACTCCATGTGGTACAAAATGCATTTTATTTATACAGAGCTTATGGCTCATACCCAAGTTGTATCCTGACTCAGCATAACATCCTGATTCCTGGCCTGGCAACCGACAGCTTCCAATGGGTGGCACAGTGACTCATTGGTTAGCACTGCTGCCTCACAGCACCAGGGACCCAGGTTCAATTCTCGCCTCAGGCGACTGTCTATATGGAGTTATACATTCTCCTTGTTTGCTTGGGTTTCCTCCCACAGTCCAAAGATGTGCATTAGGTGGATTGGCCATGCTACATTACCCATAGTATCCAGGAATGTGGAGGCTTGGTGAATTAACCATGGGAAATGCACGGCTACAGTGGGGGATGGGTGTGGGTGGAATGCTCTTTGGAGGGTCAATGGGCTGAATGGCCTGCATCCACACTGTAGGGATTCTATGATTCTATATTTGCCCCCATGCCTATCCTAAGACCTGGACCTGACCCATTTCCTCATCACCCTTGATTAACTCATTCTTCTTGTGGTGCAGCTTCTGGTTGATGACTGTATTCACCTAGTATTTTTGATGCTTTCACTGGGACACAGTATTGGCCTCAGTTGTTCACATGCTCTCTTGAGGTCACTGAAGCAGCAGCAGCTCCCAGCAGCTCTGTGCAACATATCTTCTGCCTCCAATTTTGGGACAACACCCACCAGGGATTGAGCTGGCCCCTCTCATTTCTAATTTTCCATAGCTGGAAGAAAAATGTGCTCATGAAACCATCTCCAGGAGAAGAGGAAAACATACTCACCTCATCAGAGGGCCCAGGAGGGAAAATCTCCTCCAGCCCCATAATCCTATTGTTATATCAGAGTTCATCCAGTCTAACCTCTTCACCTCCAATTTTAATCGCTCTACTTTTGGTGGCCATTTCTTCAGCTGTCTTGAACCAAAGGTCGAGAACTCCTTTCCTAAACTTCTCTGATCTCACTTTCTTCCTTCAAGACATTCCTCAGAAACTACCTGTGACTAAACATTTGGTCATCTGACTGAGTAAATTCTTAATGAGCTCAGACCCATTTTTATAATCCTCTTGTGAAGCATCTTGGAATTTTTTTTATGTTAAAGGAATTATAACATACAAGTAGATGATGATATCTTTATACAGTTTTTCTGAATGCTAGCCTTTAGCAGTTCCATGTTACTGTTGAGTCTACTGTTGGTTTACTATTTGTAAGCTCACCTTAACTTTTATTTTATGCTCTTATTTATTTAGTCAACCATCTCTGAGTCACAATTTTGCTTTTTAGGATTTAATAGAAAATGACTCTGCGCTGCACCTTTGGCCCTCTGGTCCTGTCACTTTACCGGCTGAAAACTGAGGTTCCATTGTTACCATGGCAGGGTAGTGAAGAAGGTGTTTGGTATGCTTGCCTTTACTGGACAGTGCATTTAGTATAGGAATTGGGAGGTCATGTTGCGGCTATACAGGACATTGGTTGGGCCACTTTGGAATACTGCGTTCAGTTCTGGTCTCTCAGCTTGGGAAAGATATTGTTAAACTTGAAAGGGTTCAGAGAAGATTTACAAGGATGTTGCCAGGGTTGAAGTGTTTGAGCTGCAGGGAGAGGCTGAATGGCTGAGGCTGTTTTCCCTGGAGCATCAGCAGCTGAGGGGTGAAGTTTGTAAAATCGGAAGGGTCCCGACCCGAAACATCAGCTTTCCTGCTCCTCTGATGCTGCTTGGCCTGCTGTGTTCCTCCAGCTCCACACTGTGTTGTCTCTGACTCCAGCATCTGCAGTTCTTACTATCTCTTAAGCATTTGACGCACTTGTAAGGCAGTAAGGAGTCAGCGTCATACAGATGTACAGCACAGAAACAGACCCTTCAGTCCAACTCATCCATGCAGACCAGATAGCCTACATTAATCTAGTTCTATTGCCAGCATTTGGCCCATATCCTTCTAAACCCTTCCTACTCACGTACCCATCCAGATGCCTTTTAAATGTTGTAACTATACCTGCCTCCACCACCTACTCTGGCAGTTCATTCCATGTACACACCATCCTTTGCATGAAAAAGTTACCCCTTATGTCCCTTTTAAATCTTCCCCTCTCACCTTAAACCTATGCCCTACAGTTTTGGACTCCTGTACCCTGGGGAAAAAACTGACTATTCAGCCTATCCATGCCCCTCATGATTCTACAAACTGAAACATCAACTTTCCTGCTCCTCTTATGCTGCCTGACCTGCTGTGTTCCTCCAGGTCCACACTGTGTCATCAAATGCTTCATGTTTGTATGGGGAAATGTTAGCTCAGCTTTATTAACAGAGTGTGCATGCTTGCTGTCTCAGTTATGTTCTCACTTCCATATATACAGCACATCCCACATTTACACAAAGCCTTTGACAAGAACATCACTCTTCATAGAGGTATAATTGATAGAAATTGGTGTGGTTACAAGAGGCTACAAAGAGATATAGACAATATTAAGTAAGTGCACAACAACTAAGCAGCCTGTATGTGAGTCTGTGCAAAACGGCATGTTGATACAACAGTACTGATAGCTTTGGCTCTGGCTGAAGCACCAATGTCTAACAGGCACATCACAGCATGGATGCTGCTGGAGACTATGTGAGGAAGTGTTACTCACTTTGGTTGTGCAAGCAGTAGAGCAGCATTTTTTAAAGAGCTTGTATGTGTTGATGTTCAGAGAGACTCGAGTGTACTTATACAAGAATACAACAAATGAGCATGCAGGTACAGCAGCACTTAGGAAAGCGAATGACATGTTTCCCTTTGTTGCAAGGAATTTGGAGTATAAGGATAAAGAAGTCTTGCTACAATCATACAGGCCTTTAGTGAAATCAAACTTGGAGTAATACTTTCTGCAATTTTGGTCTCTGTATTTAAGGAATAAGATTACAATTTACAATGGCCTTTTTCATTGTATCCGGTGACTTCAACCAGGTGAACCTCAAGAACGTGCTACCAAAATACCATCAACGCATCCCCTGTCCCACCAGAGGTCCAAACATCCTTGACTATGGCTATATAGCATCAAAGATGCCTACTGCTCCCTACCCCATCCGCATTTTGGAAAGTCATATCACAACACTGTGCACCTCCTCCTGGCTTACGAGCAGAAATTGAAGCTCGATGACCCAATGCAGAAAGTAGTGCAGTGCTGGTTTGATGCAACGGAATGGCTTATATGGGACTGCTTAGAGTTGGTAGACTGGTTCATATTCAAGAACTCAGTGGCCAACCTAAACGAGTATGTGACTACCATTACAGACTTCATTTGTCCTTAGCATATGGTTCCCAAAACTGCGCACAATATTTCAAATACAGTCTGATCAGAATCTTATACAGCCTCGTCAGTACATTTCTGCTTTTGTATTCTAGCCGTCTTGAAATGAATGCTAACGTTGTATTTGCCTTCCTAACTGCCAACTGACCCTACACGTTAAGAGAATCCTGAACTAGGACTCCCAAGTTCCTTTGTGCTTCAGATTACGAAGCCTATCTCCATTTAGAAAATAGTCTACACTTCTATTCTTCCTGCCAAAGTGTAAAACTTCACATTTTCCCAGATTGTAATCCATCTGCCATATCTTGGCCCACACTCCTAGCCTGTCCAAGATATTCTGCAGCCTCCCCACTTCCTCAACACTACCTGCCTTCCACCTATCTTTGTGTCATCTGCAAACTTAGCAACAATGTCCTCAGTTCCTTTGTCTAGATCATTAATGTATAACATGAATAGTTGTGGTCCCAACATGGATCCCTGCAGAACTCCGGTAGTCAGTGTCTGCCATCCTGAAAAAGACCTCTTTATCCCTACTCTCTGCTTTCTGCCAGTCAGCCAATCCTCTATCCATGCCAAGACAACAAGGTGCAGGGCTGGATGAACACAGCAGGCCAAGCAGCATCATAGGAGCAGAGAGGCTGACGTTTCGGGCCTAGACCCTTCATCAGAAAAGGGGGAGGGGAAGGGGGTTTTGAAATAAATAGGGAGAGAGTGGGAGGTGGATAGAAGAGGGATAGAGGAGAGGATAGGTGAAGAGGAAACAAACAGGTCGAAGAGGCAGGGATGGAGCCAGTAAAGGTGAGTGTAGGTAGGGAGTTAGGAAGGGGATAGGTCAGTCCAGGGAGGACGGACAGGTCAAGGGGGCGGGATGAGGTTGGTCGGTAGGAGATGGAGGTGCGGCTTGAGGTGGGAGGAGATAGGTGGGAGGAAGAACAGGTTAGGGAGGCAGGGACGAGCTGGACTGGTTTTGGGATGCGGTGGGGGGAGGGGAGATTTTGAAATTTGTGAAATCCACATTGATACCATTGGGCTGCAGGGTTCCCAAGCGGAATATGAGTTGCTGTTCCTACAACCTTCGGGTGGCATCGTTGTGGCACTGCAGGAGGCCCAGGATGGACATGTCGTCTGAGGAATGGGAGGGGGAGTTGAAATGGTTCGCGACTGGGAGGTGCAGTTGTTTATTGCGAACCGAGCGTAGGTGTTCTGCAAAGCCATGCCAGTGCTTTTCCCCTGTCATC